ACCTTAAGCCTAGGAAGCGGGGTTCATGCCATAAGTGCCATCTTTTCCTGAGCGAAAACAGGCGTGTCAGACGCGTGTTGTATCCAATACATGTCAAACACCTCATTGAGGAGAAGTGTCCATGCATCATTAAGATATAATGTATTCTTATTATATACTAAAAAATGAAATATATTTAAAGCTAGTTTAAAAGTTATGTACACGTGATGATGATTTGTAGGGAGAAGAACTAACAATTATAATGGTTTGGCATCGGTTCATACCTACTGAAAGAAACTCTTCTTTGTAGAGTTTGAAGTTGGTGATCATGTTAGCGGTGGGGGCAAAATAGGAATATGGATATTTTAGACAGAAGTAATATGAAATAATTCGCTTTAGCTAAGGACACCACCAATTATCATACCACTGTGGATGATCAATAATCTGAATTAGAATGACATGATGGTCTAACAATGGCAGCAATGGTAGAATAAAATCAATCCGTTTACTTGGTGATGTAGCAGGCAACAATATAAGAGACTTTAGAATGTCCTTTATCTCCATGTCAAAATGTTAGTGAACAATAATAGTAACTAAAGATATCACAAACTCGGCAATATAATGTTTCTCTAGCAGTGGAACAATACATCACATGGAGCAATCTTAATATCATGTTCTAATATAAGATCCTGCTAAAACTTAATCGCTTGTTCAGAGCATATGGCCTGGGCCCTAGAACTAACTTTGAATTCGGAAAATGACAATCCTCTTCAAGAGCAAACTCATCATCAGAGATATTGGGTTGTGTTCATAAAAATCTTTGATCATGTCCAAAGACTGAGTGGATTTAAAAATTATTTCTTAAAATTTCAGACTCAACCTTAGGCATAAAACTAAGCTCATGTCTGGGGACATCATCCCACTTTAGCTCGACCAGATATGATTAACATCCCAAACAACATGGGAGTTTGAGGATAATGGAGAGGATTGCTGATTTGAAGGGCAACACTCAAGCTTGTAATTGAGAACATCAAGTTTATTGATATGAGTATGATGTTGCATGTTTCTTATCCATAGAACTTGATGTTGTGAAAGGTAACACTGCACATACAAGATTTATAAAAAGTTCAAAGCCATACTCGAATGTTCATAATAAAAAATTATATAGAAGCATGAATAAAGTAGATTTACGACTGCATGCATCTCTTAATAATAAAGAATGGAGAAGAAGAGGTCGTAAAGCCAATCATGAATAATTCGGATAAGGCTGATGATGATAAAATATATTTCTCCAAACAACTTCTTTGGATGCCACCAATTCATCCTTAATGAAAAAGTAAAATAGACGGGAAAGTTGATACCATAGCTTGCCAAATAAAGATCTTGATTAGAGATAACCCATGTGAGACAGTAACTTTGTCTTGAGCTCAAACCTAACAGTGAATGGTACAGAAGAAAAGAAGGTACAAATTGCTCTTATTGAGCTGAAATTGCCTTGTAATCATCGGCAAAGTGGATTGGGAGACTCTCCATGAGAGTAGGAGCTTCAATAATAATCGATGGGAGGAGAGTCGTGATTATTGGCTGATGTTTTGTGTATTGTTGTATGTTGGAAGAGAAAGAGTGGGTAAATGAGAATTTTATGTACAAAACTTTGAGAAATCCGCATACACATTGGATTTAGAAAAAGCACTCAATTAGTCTCACGAATAATTTTATTTATCGGATATCAATATTCAATAATTTGATTGCAAGTTATCAATCCTATTTATAGAAATAGTGCTATAAAGATAAGGAAAAAAGATTTTGAAATCAAATCTTATCTTATTCAAAATTAAATCTAATCCTAACAAACATTCAAATTCAAACCTAATGTTAGCCAAAAGAATAATTCTATCCAATAAAATTAATCTAATAAAAATATTAGCAAATTAGATATAAAGTATGGTTTTAAAAAATTATATGATTCAGCTGTTCTGTAGCTTAGTTCAACTCTTGCTGTTCGACCTATGAAAAATTAGTTTTTTTATGATTATACTGGCTGAATTGTACTACATCAATTTATCTGATCATTAAATAACTCTTTTCCTGAAGAGTTTGTAAAAGGAAGCCAAGGCGAAGGATGTGATGCCACTAGATCATTTGATGGAAGAAAGGGCCATGAAAAATATAGGGAGGAGCAAAAAAATTAGGAACACCTATTTGGAGGCTTACATGTTGGGTCACTCCCAATTTCTTACACCTAAGATAGATTTGCAATGTGAAATGACAATGGACTAGATGATGATGGAGATATTGACATCACAAACTCAATCTCTAGTAGGTCTAGCTGAAATAAATGATAATCATTAGAAGTGGTGTAAGAAGGAGAAAACTCCACGTATGCAACTTGAATCAGAATGATAACAATATATTTGCCTAACATAATAATTTTCATTAATTAAAATATTCTTCAATTTGAAGTCATGGGCTTTAGAGAACTAGGGTTATAATTCTAATCTAATCCTATCTAAAATTTAAATTCAAATATAATATTGTCCTAATAAGATAATTAGGTCTAATAAAATAAATTTATTGAAAGAAACATGAATAGTCAGCTAAAAATAAAAATGGACTAAAAGGTTTTCAAAATCAACTTGGTTTAGCTCCTTTTTACCTCTATTCGACTCCTTTTGATTGGCTTATGAAAATATAATTTTTTATTAGGCTAAATTATCTTGTTCTGAATCAATTTACCTGTCCAACAAATAATTATGGGAATGGAATTAGGAAATAGAGTTGTGGTACATGATATGAGTTACGATTTATGAGGATTAGGATATGGTTTCAAGGGATGTGGTTTTATGGTTTGGATTGTTTTGGGAAGAGATCGGGGCATTAGATTTAGTGTGTAGGTGATGAAGCTGGTATTTGACTCTAACTAAGCGATTGATGTTAGGTTTTGAATTATGGTTGATAAGAAACTAACATATTTCAAGAAGATTGGCTCTTGTATCAAGATTGATGGAGAGGAAGAAGTAAACGTCATGGACACAACTTGGAGCAATTAATATATACAATTTGTATCAAAATGAGAATACTTGATTGACCTCATGCTATAATTTTCATATTTATAATTTTTTTGTCTATTAACTTTGCAGAGCACATGAGAATAATATTGGCATTTATAAAACAATCTTGTGGGAGAAAAGATGGTGATGAAGAGACCCGTTGGAAAACATAGGTTGTGTTATTTTGTTGAAAGGCTCATTAAAAGATGGATGGTTGGATATACTCAAATAAGAGGTTATAGTTGATTAGGGGGATATGTTAGTATGGGACTTGTGCGATGCTACTTGTGTATGCTCATTTTGTATCTTGTCTCTAAGAGTAAAGCCAATCATCCGTCTGAACATCCTCATCTCTGCAACATTTAACTTAATATTATGCTTCTATTTTAATATCGAACATTCTACACCATAAAGCATTGTTGGTCTCATCACCATCTTATAGAATTTTCCCTTAAGTTTGGAGGGGGGGGGGGGCTTTTTCTATCACACAACAAGCCCGATGCATTCCTCCACTTCAGCCATCCAACTTGAATTCTACTAATAATATCCTCATCTATTTCACCATCACTCTGAACAATAGGCCCAATATATCTAAAACATGTACTTTTATTGATGGCTTGATCGTCCAAAGTCACAATCCCCCACTAGATATATTATTACTAAATTACACTCCATATATTCAGTTTTAGATATACTCAAATGAAAGCCTTTAGACTCTAATTTGACCTCCATAATTCAAGTTTACCTTCAACTCCCCCTCCAGTCTTATCAACAAGAAGAATATATCATCAAAAAGTATACACCAAGGCACAACCTCTTGCAAATGTCTAGTGAGAACATCCATGGCTAAAGCAAAAAAGATATGAGCTTAAGGTTGATCCTTGGCATAATCCAACTGAAATAGGAAAATACTTGGTCAAACCACCTTGTGTTTAAACACAAATAACAACTCCTACCTTAATGGCTTGAATATAAGCATTATTAACCCCCTTCTTTTCCAGAACTCTCCATAACACTTCTCTTGGAACTTTATCATATGCTTTATCTAAATCAATAAATATCATATGTAGATCCTTCTTATTCTCTATATACTTCTCCATGAAACCTCTCAATAAATGTATAGCTTTAATAGTAGACCTACTCAGCATGAATCCAAATTGATTTTGAGAAACATTATTATCACACCGCAACCTATGCTTAATAACTCTCTCCCATAGTTTTAAAGTATGATACATTAACTTAATGCCTCTATAATATGCACAATGTTGTGCATCACCTTTATTCTTAAAAATATAAATCAACGCACTCATTCTCCACTCATCAGACATCCTTTTATTCTTCAAAATAATATTAAAAAAGCATTTTCGCACCTCTAATAGAATATCATGTCCAACAGCTTTTTCACATTTCATTTTCTTTAAAGTCTCTCTAACTTCGGTTTTACTAATACGCCAATAAAATTAAAATCTATATTTTCATTTAGAGTGCAAAGGTCACTAAAGTCAATCACATTCTCACAATCTTCTTTGAAAAACAACTACTTTATAAATCTATCAAATCATCTAGCTATTGACAGGAAAGTTCGGGTCTTGAACAATATTTAGCCTTAGCCCTCCTAACTGGAGTAATTATGTCAACATCCTCATCACTTTTAGTTAAAAACAATTAATTAGGCTATCATAATGGAGCATGTATTGTTAGTCTACTTCATATTAGATTCTGCCATCTTTCTAGATTGAATGAATTCCCAAAATTTTTTTCTTTAATGAGCATGTATTGTCAACATTTTTCTTTAACTAGATGACAATGGAGGCAACTAATCACTGGTTCGACACACCTTGCATGGACGCCTATCTGATTTAAGGAAATTAACAATTTTGGCATCATAAAATTAATGCTCAATTAATGACCACTGAATTTAAAGAAATTTGCTTCTTAATCTTGGCTAACCTTGAGCATTGTGATATGCAGACCTCTGGGATTAGATTTCCTGAACGCCAAAAAGATGCTGCTCTAATATACACACCTGCTACACAAGCTTATCACCCACAAGTAGGATATGGTATGCCCAGCAACTCTGTTGAAAGACTTGATGATGCAATTGAAAATGGAAATCTTAGGTGACATTCCTAATATTTTTATGCATCCATACACTAGTTTCTGCTTCATTTTTGGTGCGTTGGGATTGAAATATGGCATTGTGTATATGCTATTTGCTCTCTTGTTCTTATTCCAGCTTTTATTATTTTCTCTTCAGTTTATCAGACTTGAAAAACATCCGAAGTGTTATGGAGTTATTCATTGATATGCTGCAGGCAGTGAACCCAGAAGATCGCACGGTAAGTAAATCTTGGAATTTAGGATTATTAGTCTGTTTTGTAGCTTCCCTCCGATAAAAGATATGAGATTTCTTTGTTAATGAATATGAAACTTCAACTTGGTTTTGAATGTTTTTCCGAGTATGTTTACTTAACTGCTCACTATCAGAGAATAATTTTATTTCAGAGCAAATACATCTATGATTTGTGTCACTAAGGCTTCGTTTGAGACAACTTTCTTACTTCTTTCTAAAATAGCTTTTTAGTAAAAAAAATTATAAACTATTTTTTTTTTACTAAAAGCTGCTTTAAAAAACAGTAAGAAAGCCATCCCAAACGAAGCGTTTTCTTAAAGCAGTTTTTTAGTACATAGATTTTAATTTTTGTACTAAAAAGCTGCTTTAAGAAGCAATAAAAAAGCCGTCTCAAACGAAACCTAAGTGAGCAAATTGAATTACCCGGATGTTCACATTTTTCTACTTCTGCACTCTCTTTACTTGATTCAGCCTATATTCACCAAGACGTGTGGATTTTAGTTGATTGGAGGATTTGGATAACACTGGTTTATTTTACTGCTTTTTAGGCCGTTGATGATGAAGTTATCACGGATCTTGCCAGCCAGTGTCGTGTAAACCAAAAGAAGCTTATGCAGCTGATTAATTCAACCGAGTAAGTTAATTTTAATTATTTTATGATACTTATAATTTTTACATAAGTTACCCATAAAGATTATAAGCCTCAAACCTATATTGTAGGTAAGTTGTAATTTTATGTTGTTGTGTAGCACGAACTAAGCATTTACTCATTGTGCTTTGACCAAGCTTTGCATATTTTTTATATTTAATTTTGGGGATCACATTTAGTAGGTTGCCTTTCCAACAACAAACAAACAATCTAGATTTCCTCTCTAATTTTATGTTAAGTGTTGCAGGGATGAGGATGCTCGGGTGGATGAGTGGCTTTACTCTTAAAGATAAGATACGAAATGAGCATATACATGAAAATGTTGGAGTACCTCCAATGGAAGATAAGATTAGAGATAGTCGCCTTAGATGGTTTGGGCCTAGTTTGATTGGATGTTTTTTGTGCTTTTTCCTTTTTAAAATGGTAAATTTATTTCTTGTTTACTATTTGGTTCCTCAAACCACGTTCCCAATAACACCATTTTTTTTCATTTTTATGCTGTTTTGAAAAAGTTTTTTATATATACTTCTCCGTTAGAAAACTCCTTTCTCTGAACCGATGTTTCTTAAAACTATCTTTTACAAAAGTACCGGATAAACAAACAAAGCCTTGGTCTCATAAAACGGCAGTCTTCCGATGACCCGGTTAGGAAAGTAGATGTATTAGATTTGATTTATGCTAAAAAAGGTAGAGGTAGACCTAAAAAGACTTAATGAGAATTTGACTCTTAACCAGACATAATAGAGAAAAAGGATTCATGTATACGACCGCACATAGTGGGATAAAGGGTTGTTGTTAGGTTGCCTTTACATTATAATTAAAATTTATTAAAGTCAGCCACCCTATATCATTGCTTATTTGTTATTTTCTTACTTTTGAAGCAATTTTGAAGGATATAATGGTTGACTTAAGAGCCTTATATGATTTGCAGGAATGAGGAGCTATTGGGAGAAGCTCTTGCATTGTTTGAAAATTTACAAACTGCATTTGCAAGACATGATGCAATCGCTTCCGGGTCGCCTTTGCCGCCTGAAATAGCTCAGCCATTTTCAAGACCAAGCATTCTTCCTCCATCTGTTCCTGCTATTCAGCATTTTGATGACAAAGAGGTAGAAGAAGATGACTCAACTTCTTTAGCTCACAGGTCTCTCAACCAATTCACAACTCATCTTAAATCTCGAATTCTATTCATCGATGTGTTAGCCTACAATCTTTCGATTTCTGCAGAGATTCTAAATCTAAAGCAACCGACGATCACCTGGTCTCACCAAACCATAGCGACATCACTACCCCAACTTCAACTTCAGGTGTTTCAGAAGCCTCATCATCTAGTACAAGCAATGCAATAGTCCTGCTTGATCCTTCAATGCCAGAAACTACCTCCAAGAAAGAAGAAGACATGATTGATCTCCTCAGCCTTGTTCTATCGACCGACCCGCCGCCTCAAACACCCCCCGCACCGCTTCCTCAGTCGAACCATAATCAAAATCCATTCTCTACTTCTCCCAATCTGCAACAGTATCCTAACAATCCTCAGCCCATCACATCGAATGGTAATTACGCAAGCTACGACAGTTATGTTGCACCCTGGGCTCAATCTGTGGTTTCTCAATCGCCGGCATCATTACCGCCAAATTTTCCTCAGCAGCAAGTGATGCCGTACCCATATAACTATCAACCTCCATCATGGACTCCTCCTGGAGTAAGTTCAAATCCTTTCCTATCGACGGCCTCCCTCCAGTATCCAGCAATTCCGCCTCCGATTGCTCCAGCTGCTTCTGTTCCTGCAACCTCCTTTCAGTATCCAGCTCCTAAGTCTACTACTTCTCCAGCAAACTCCTTCCAGTATCCAGCTTCTCAGAATTCTATGGCTCTTGTTCCAGCTGCTCCTGTACCAAGTCAGGATTCCAAGGCCATACAGAAGTTTACTAACTCAATAGGCTCAAGAGAATTCCATCCAAATGCTAATAATTTAAAGCAAGCAGGTTCGTCGATGGCCCCGAAGCCGTATGTCTCGCCGGATAAGTTGTTTGAGGGCCTTTTAGAGTTGAGGAATCCTGATGGAAGTCTCAAGTCTAGAAATGCTTCTACTCTGTGGGGCTCTTCCGGCGACGGCGACAGCTTGACTGGTGGAAGAAAATAGCATGCTGCTATTTGACAGTTTCTATATATGTTTAGGATTTTTCATGCAAACAGATTTACATTTTGTTCATATAGTGAAGGATAGGTTTCCTCGCTTTAATTTGTCTTTTTTTTTATTGCATTTGAATAGTTTATGTAATTTAAGAATGATTTTATTATTGCTTTTTAAAACAGCTTTCTAATAAAAAATTGTTTTAAGAAGTAATAAGAAAACTGTACTAAATGAAATATTAAACAATATAAATGTGTATAAGTAATAACATGTTTACTTGGACATGCTGCAGATTGGGTAATAATGAATTAAATGCAATGATTATTTTAATAACTAAGTTGAAATTAAAATTTTTATTTTTTAAAAATATACTAAATATTCCATCTAAATTTTGGACCAACTGATCAAACTGCAATCTTTGTAATGTAAACAAACTAAATTTATGTTCTAATAATTTTTTTGTTCTTATGAGAAATGCTGATGTGATTGCAAAACCCACTTATTATTATTATTGTTATTAAATTATATTTTAAATGTGAACTTTTTTAGAGCATTGCAATATAACTGATGGTCTCAGTTTGAATTGAGAAGGGAGAGTAGATGAAGAGAGTAGAACCAGACAGATCTTTTGAAAACAACTGAGTACATTAGTTTACTATAAAAGTAACTGTAGTTTGTAGCTTAGAAGTCTTTGGATTTTTTTTTTTTCAAATTAAAATTTAATTTAGTTATTATTTTAATTTTTTTCACTGTTATTAGAAAATTGTGATTAAAAAATATTTTTTGCAATCATAATAATGATGTTTAGAAAATAGCTCCGGTGAAAGATAGGATTAGAGAGAATTACCTTAAGATAATTTAGTCATATAAAATGGTGATCTTCCAATGATCTAGTTAGTAAAATAGTTGTATTAAATTTGATTTATATTAAGAAAGATAGGCACACCTAAAAATATTTGATTAAAAAATATTAAAAATAATATTTTATTATCATATTTAAATGAAAATTTAACTCTTAATATCACATAATGTAAAAAAACATTCATGTAATATATCTCACATAATGGGATAAAGACTTGATATTATTATTATTGTTGTTATATAATAATAATATTATTTTCTTAATAGAAATTTCATTATAAATTTTATAAAATATTGTAGATATTTCAAACATACCCTAATTGCATTGAAACCTCAGCATCTATCACTCCAAACAGAAAAAAAATCATTCCAAACGGATCTAACAAAATTTGCCATAACTATTTTGCTAAGAGAGAACACAAAAATTGGATCAAATATATCACAGCAAACAACCCAAAAATTTTAAAGTAATGAGCAAAAATTACTACTAATATTTAAGTAAATTTGCTCTTATTTCAAATATATTTCATTATGATGTTTATCAAAACATAATTTTTTTTACACGCAACAGCGCGTTTGTTTGAGCTTTCACCACAGCACTATGCTACTTAACTTTTTTCTTAGTAAAGCATTATGTCAAAACGGAGAAATTATTCTATGCGGACACTCGACCGTTCAGAGGCAAATTAGAACGTGTCACATCACCCGGTACACAGACCTAATACACAACAAAAAAAGTGATGTGGCGCATTCTAATTTGCCTCCAAACGGCATCCGTATCCGCACATAATAATTTCACGTCAAGATGTTTATAAGATACAATTCCTGGAATTAAAGAATTGAAGAACAATCATACGGGTGGTCTGACATACATTTTAAAACAAGGAACTCACAAATATTCATATATAACTTGTCTATATGCATTTATTTTAAGTAATTACTTATTTCTATATTCATATATCGAATTTTTTATATCTTCAATTTTAAAAAATATGTTAAATTATGCATATTATTGAAGGTATATATCATAGAAATAACTAGATATATTAATAAAAATAATTTTTTTAATAAATATTTGAAATTCATCAAATAAAATAAATAATATTTCATCAATTCTATTATTTGTATTAAAACTTATAAATCTATATCTTTTTAAAAATAACCCTATTAGTTAGACTCTCCTGTAGTTCAAACTTGATAAGAAAACTAAAAATTTAACTACAACAAGATTTGAAAACTTGGTCATATTCAAATTTGAGCAACATACTACTCAACTTGACTAGATTCATTTACAACCTTACCTTTTGTGAAGGAAAGCACCACTGCAGCATAGATGGTAGAAGGCTCAGCCATGGCGCCGTTTCCATAATCTCCACAAGCCAATCTCTTTGTGATAGGGGGGATTATGGTCATCCCAAGCTGACAAATTGAATGAAGATGACTCTTTGTAAAAGGATTGTTCCACATAAAAGTATTCATGGCAGGTGCAATGTACACCGGTTTGCTGTAGTCCCATGCTCTTACAATGCATGTCAGCAGGTTGTCGCACAATCCTCCAGCAATCTGAAAATTTGAAATAAACGGGTATTTATACTACATAAGAAAGTTGTAACAACAACAACAACAAGCCTTTGTCCCATTACGTGGGATCAGCTACATGAATCCTTTTTCGCCGTTGTGTTCTATTAAAAGTCAAATTTTCATTTAAATCTAATAAAGAAATATCATTTCTAATATTTTCTAACCAAATCTTTTTAGGTCTACCTATATCTTTCTTAACATAAGTCAAATTTAATACCTCAACTTTTCTAATCGGGCAATCGGAAGGCCTCTGTTTAATGTGACCAAACCATCTAAGGCGACTCTCTATAATCTTATCTTCTTCCACTGGAGCTACTCCAACTTTATCATGTATATGCTCATTTCGTATCCTATCTCTAAGGGTAAAACCACTCATCCACCTAAGCATCCTCATCTCTGCAACACTTAACTTAGTATTATGAAATGACATGGGTATAAATAAGAACATAATAAATCATTTCAAGGGGGATCATAGCTTCAAAATGTGTAGAGCTCCAAAATGATATGAGTTGATTTCAAGGCAACCTGCAAACCTCAGTTGTGCAGCATAGTTTACTCCCCCGCAGAAGGCTAACTCTTCAGGACTACAAAAGTGCTTATGTTTAAGCCATTTGATAGGTTTGAGCACTAAAAATTCGCAATTTTTTCATACTTAAGCTCTGTATTAGAGTTTACTCCATCATACGGTTAACTCTTCAGGGATGCAACAGTGCTTATTATTAAACCATGTGAAAAGTTATGATCATGTTACGGTTCCGGGGGAGCCGACCAAACCGGCTGTTAGACCGGTCCTCTATGGACCGGTCCAGCCGGCCCAAACCCTTGGGCCGGTCCGGTTCACGTACAGCAGGAGGAGGCCGGCGGACACCATGGGGGAGAAAAGGGTGGGGTTCATCTGAATTTCAAACACAATCTTGGAGCGAAAAGGAGGAGAAGCGAGGACAATTAGGTCCTTTTGTATTAGATTTGAATTGTATGCATTAAGTAGGGAGTAAAGAGATGATTAGGGTTATGTGATATTTTGGTGAGAGTTTTCTTGTTCTTCTTTGGTGGCTAGGGCTCTAGATCGAATTCTAGAGATTGGGAGAGTGCGATCCTCCTCTCGAAAAGAGGATCCTTGTATCTTTGCTATTTTCCTTACATCTACTAGTAAAATACAAGTCTTTTCTCAAGTTTTCTCGCAGATTTTCCCGGATTTCCCTCTGTTTTTGCTGTTTTCCTGCTGTGAACAGCAGTGTGCTTGGAGATTTGCTGTAAAAGTGAATTTTCAAGTATTTCCTATCACCGGCCCAGGTGAGGCCGGTTCAATTCTATAGGAGGCAGCCCAAGCCACCTCCTTAAGGACTTCCGCCTAAACATGTGGGCCCCCCTTGGGTGACAATTAGAGAGAGGGTAGGGGAGCGGCTAAAGCTTTGCAGGTTAATTTGAATTTGGGTTATTTTAGGAAGCTTTTTATTAGGAAGATGTGTACTTAAAGAAGATGAGAGGTTAAGATTGGGGAATGCATGATTTGAGTTGTTTTCTTGGAGTCTTCCTTGGTATCTTGGGCTCTAGATCTATAATCTAGAGATTGGGAGAGACGATCCTCCTCTCGAATTGAGGATCAATTGTATCTTGCTTGGAGTTTGTTTGGCTTTGATTCTACTATTGCAATCTACTGTTTTTTTAGATTGATTTCATCCAGATTTTCTTGTTTTTCTTGCTGTTTTGATCAATTATTGCTAGGGTTGCTTGCGAACTCAAGTATTCCCTCTTATATTACTTGCAAACTCAAGTATTTCCTATCAGATCACTGAAGGAAACCTTGCTTTTATTTGAGCAAAATTTATGAACAAGAGGCAAATAAAAAACAGTATGATAACTAGAAGGCTTGATGACACCAGAAAATAGATAATGTTCTAATAATGTTAGAAACTAAATGCACCTTGGCGAGAGTATTTGCTGACAATGGCGCAATAACCATTGCATCTGCCCATTTTCGTAGCTCAATGTGCAACACTTCATCACTTAGCATCTTCCAAGAGGACCATTCATCATCATCCGTGTAAAGTACAACATCCTTTGGAAATGAAGCTTTATCTATAAAGTGTAAAGATGATTTGGTGGCAACAGCTTTAACTTCAGCCCATTGCGTAAAAGAGTAGCATAGAGCTTCAAACTTAATTGCCGCAACACTTCCAGAAGCAGCAAGGAGGATCTTTGGTTTCACTGGTTTTACTGAAAGAATGTCTTCATTCATCTGATTCTCCGCCATT